GCACTTTCGCTTCCAACATTGCCAATATGGGCGGGGACCCAGGTTACAGTGACTGTGTTGTTTCTATTTGTCGATTTAATGTAAAGCTCTTGGCATTCTTGGGTCATTTGTCCACGGATTCTGGATTGATGGAATGGCGTTTATAGAGTCGCGGAAAATAGTGAAGTTCTTGTTTTGATCTATGGACGTAAGCTCGATAGAGTTTTTGGGTGGAGTTTGGTTGAGTTGTTTAGTTTATCGCCGGTGACTGCATATCCGGATCCATTTGAGGGGTGGGTTATACTTAAATATACTGAAGACTGAGAAAATATTGCAATTTTGGGAGAAAAAATTCTCGACGTGCGTGGCGCAAGAGGTTAAACAGCGAGCCGAAGAAACGCGAGCGCGAAAGTTGAAGAAAGATCTGGCGCAAATTAACAGCGCCGGCTCGGTCGAGAGTCGAGAAATCGAAAACCTCGGAGAACCTCACGGTCTTCTTCACTCTTAGCCGGCAGCTAATTTCCAAGGGTCTCGCTGCGATTCTTCAGAAGAGGTTTACTAGGTCACGAAGGCCTTCGAGCTAATCGGAGATCGAAATAAACCGCCCGCCACTTCTCTCTCTTTCTCTCTCTCTCTCTCAGTTTGTCGCGTGTATTTCCCAACTACTCTTTCCTCGGGTTGTGTGTTGCGTTTCGCCTGGGAACGAGGACGATAATCGAAGAAGGAAAACCGGGATCGCGTGTCGGATAATCGCGCGAGAAAGTCAGTCTCGCCGCTACTTGCTGTGCATTCTACGACCCGGAGAATCTCCGGGCGTGTATATGCGCTTGCGAGGCGCGTTAATCGACTCTCGAGAGCCAAGCATAACATACGGGGCCGAAATCAAGCTCAGGCGAGATTAATTTGGCGCAACAGCTAGGGGTGTGTTGCTCGGCTGTGTATTGCTATCTCTACTCGGTGCCCGAGGAGATACATCCCACCCTCCCCCTCTTTCTCTCGAGCCTCTCTACCGAGCGAAGGTTGTCTTTTGTCTCGTTACAACGAAGCTGGATCGTAGTTGGATGTTTTTTCATCTTGTTTTCCAAATCTTGGGATACAACATCTCGCGGGTTACGCGAAAATTCGCTTGTCGAAACGAGAGATCGAAAAGCAAGCTTACGGGCCGGAGGCCTCAGGCGTCGATCCGTCGAAATATTTCCATTCCCGTGGCATGTGACACGCGTCTCGAGCAGAGAGGTCTCGCCCCCTTCCACCCTGATTTCTCCCCTCAAGTCAGCCGGAAATTAAATAAGACAAATCGCGTTAGAAGAGCGTCTGTTCGTTGGAGCAGATTCGCTTCTTTTTTCTATTTTTCTATTTCGCTCGTTTCCCGTCCACGCAATGTGTATTTGACGAATCTATTAAATTGAATCATAAATAATTTCCGTTTCGGTAAAAGAACATTATTCATCAATAGGACAAACAATTATATCGTAATCTACGATATATTCGCCGTTATTTGCAATTAGTCGTTGCCGATTTATCAGCTTGTCGATGAAGCTTCGGCCGGTTTCGACGTAACATAGTTTTTACACAAACTCTCGAACTTGATTGTCAGAGAATTTTTTCCCCATCGAGGTATTTGGCAGGGATCGAAAGAGGTAGTAAGACCTGCCAAGCTCTAAAATTTTTTCCAGCGTTAACTTTTGCTGTACGCAGTCTGCATCGTTCTTTCCAGTACGAAGATTACGAATATCAAACATCCATTTTGCTGATTTTCCCTAGCGTTTCTAAATGGTGGACTGCGATGTGTTTAACTTGTTTGATAATTCATACATAAATTAAATTCGATTGAAGTTCAGAACTTCAATATTAAAAGATGTATTCTCATCGGTATCTACTTTATTAATTGTCAGGTTTTAATATTTCGTTGCAATCGGGGGGAAGGGGGGGGGGGCGAAATTTCGAAAAAAAAGAAAACGGTAAAAATTCTGTAATTAAAAGCCAGTAAGCTACAGAAACTATCTCTGAGATCCTATCTGTACTTGCAACCACACCTTTGACAAACAGTCGAATAATCTCAGTCGCGTTTTTTGGGTCGCAGGGTTTTAAGGTCGATGTTTTCGACCGTGTGTCTTTTTTCTTTCTTCCTTTCAAATCGGTCTCTCGTTTGTTTTTAAAGAATTATAGATTATAGACAGGCTCGCCGGGACGGTGTCGTTTAATCCTTGCCGATTCCTCTTCGTTTCCGTTGTTCGTTGAACGCACGAACCTCCTCTCCCCTCGATCGATTTCGGATACGGTTGAACCTCGGACTGTTACGCACCGCTAAATTTCCACTTGATCCTGAGAGGGGAGGGATCGTCGTCTCGAAATCACGGATTCTAAATCCGCTGTTCCGCCGCGTTTTGGAAATTCGACACGATAGCGGAATCGCGCGTGGCGGTTGAAAAAACACCCGGATCGGAGTTTGATTAACGAGCGTGGAATTAGACGAGCGTGGCGCACGAGGAACGACGCTCGAGTTTTATTTTATTTTATTTCATTTTTTTCTTTCTTTTCGCCGCCACTCGCCGCTCGCGAGTTGAAACTGTCTCCGTCCCACCGATTCTAAATCGCCGCCGCGATTCTACGCCTTTCACTCGTTGCTTTAATCTAGGCCACTAATCGAATCCTCCGAAAAAAGAGAGAGAGAGAGAGAGAGAGAGAGAGAATATCAAAGGAACGCCGTTAAAGAAGCTCCCTTTCATCGTCTCCGAAGGAACGCAATTTTCACCGCGAGGCCAGTTTTCAGCGACGTCGGCCTGCTTAAACGCTCGTAATGGAATAAAGTACGCGCGAGAGAAAGAAAGGGGGAGAGAGAGAGAGAAGACCGGTCTAATGAAAAATTTAAGACGAGGCGTTCTCCGCGAGCAGAGACGCGAGAAAAGGAGCAAGTAACGTTTCGTGAATACGGGTCTCCCCGCTTTCCTTCCTTTACCCGACGCTTTCACTCCTCGCGAACGACGCTCGAAAGTGGCCGCTCTGGCGTTTTCAACCCCGTTTCGACTCCCCCCCCTCGTTTCTCCGCGAAAATTCGCAGCTCCGACCTGCTTATCCGGTCAAACAGTCATCATCTCTGAAAAGTCGACTCTGGTTAATGGACATCCGTTTTCCGGCGGGAAGTTTCTCTCCACTGGTTGATTGATTTATTATATTTAGTACAGTCAGATCGTTGAATAGATTTGACTTTTGTCGGAAGGGAAAGTTCACGTATGAAATAGAATTCGAGTGAATTGAATTTAGCTAACAGCTAAAATTATAAAGTCTTTTACAATTGCTGATAATCGAACGGTATGATATAACACGACGATTAATAATAAAATTTCAAAAGACGAAATTCTTGAGGATAGAGGCAGTCTAAATGTCGTCGTTGAAAAAACACTAATCATATCTTCGATGATTTCTTCAGATATTTGACAAAATGTACCCGCACCCCCAACTTTGAGGGTAGTTTTCACTCTTTCAGCCGGTAAAAAATAGTGGTCAAACATTTAACTTAGCCAAATTTCACAAAAATCGGTAATCAACACTATAATAACTACGCTATTTTTCTGCGAGAATTTTCGAGTGATCATAAAACACAATTTTCGCACAATCCTCGTTGATACGCCAATTCCTGGAGAAATAGTAGAATCCTCGAACGTTGTTGTGTTTTGAGTGAAATTCGAAGCTCGACAAGATCTCTCGTACGTGAGCTTTCAAGTCTCTTACGATGCACGAAGAGTTAGCGAACTGCAGACAATCGGCAAAGGGTACGCGTCGAGTCGATGCCTGTTGCCGTTTTCTCCCCGCAACGGTAGAAGCATAACAGGTTGTGCAACTAACGAGAATCGTATTTGAGATTCGCCCCTCTGGAAGCGCAGAGTGTCTTTTGCCTTCGAAATAAAGCGCTGGCCTTGCTCGCGTGATTCAACCTTCTGATGTAAATGAGCATCTTCTCCACGTTTCTCCCGATTCTTCATTCGCGTTTTATGAACATTTGGAATGCTTTGTCCTCGTCGGAATTTTTATCGCACAATGCTGAGAAAGTTACTTATTTGAGCATAGGAGGAGTATAACTGGGAATAATTGCGAAATATACTACTGTTATTTTCGTTGGCGAAATATTCGAAACATCCAGAGTAGCGTAGATGAACAAATAAATAAATGAACATTTAGGTTCCATTTTTAATACGAAGTTGCATAAATGTCGATAGTCTAATTGCTACGTGTTGTACGTGTAGCCTCGAAGAAAGTGAGATATTCACCGAAAAGTTTAATATGAAAATTGGCTCCTAAAAAATGAATACTCGAGAATCCCGCGTTTCAGTGGATCTTGGGGATCGCCGCAGAAGCTGGCGAAACGGTCGAGAATGAAATTTCTCGTCTGGACACCCTCCCGTGAGCTTCAAACATTATAAAACGCGCTCATAAATAATCACCCCGTCTAACTTACAAAATAGCAATATCCCTGGCAATTTTCCTTCGTATTCGCCACCCCACCCCCCCCCCCCCCCCCCCCCCCCCCCCCCCCCCCCCCCGTCCCGGTGAAATTACCATTGCGCCCGCTAGCGGTAAACAAAGTTCGTCTTGCTCCTCTCCGTCTGGCATATTCGCGATCGGTAGATGAAACTTTTCTAAATGGCAGATGAGAAGGGATGAGAAAACGTGAAATAACGGGTGACAGCCGTGACAACGAGAGAGAGAACCGCGGCGACGGTTTTCGAGAGACAGTCCGACAGTTTGGCTCGCGTTTTAATTGGCGGCCGTAATAAAGTCTAACAAACGAAAGCGGCGAACACCGAATTCTGGAAGCCGTTTCGCCGTGAATCGCAGATCGTTACAGCGCAGACGTAGATAATTCGCAGAGGCTCGCGATCGTTTAATTATCGTTCTATCCGGGGATAGTTCTCCCCCACCCCGTGAAACAATCCTTTCCAGAGGCGGTCTCCTCTATCGCGCGCGAGATACTTAACAATTAATCATCTCGTAACCGGTTAACACACTCGGTTGGTATCGATGTTATTTTAGAGACGGTAGACAGCGAGCAGCAAGCCGTGAGGAAGAAAAAGGGGGACCTGTAAAAGTGTGTGTAGCTAGCAAGCAAGTGCAGCACAGCTAGTTGAGCGACGTTGGACGAACGTGCGCGGGTGCGTGTTTCTCGATTATCAGTCGCGAGGGGGGTGGCCGATGGGATCTCGACTCTCGCCGAATCAGCTGGAAATCGAGAGAAAATCGCGTGGCAAAGCGAGTGCAAAGGAAGGACGAGACACTCGTCGAGAGTCGAGCAAAGAGAGGGGTAATATAGGGATATAATATTTGGAGGATATAGCCAGGCGAATCGAACGAAAATAATCGCGAAACCGCGCGGAGGCACGATGCTGGCGTGCGTCTATCCGGCGGAGAGCTTCAAATCGAAAGCCGTGACGGTGAAGCTACGGCACGGACGATCCAAGAGAAAGCCGAAGCTGCTGTCCGTAAAGGAGAAACCGGCGGACGGCGGCAAGCAACCGGAATGCGATGACACCCCTAAGCTCGAGAACGAGGTAAGCTCTCCCTTCGTCTTCCGTTCCCTTGCTCACCATCGATCACCGACACTGCTGCCAATTCCTCTCTATCCCTCTGCCTCTCCGTGTCTGTCTCCTCCGTCTGTCTCTCTCTCTCTGCTTGTTACGTGTAAATTTTAGTCCTGGGAGGGAATGGTAAATGGGATCGGATCAATTCCAACGTGTGTATTTACGAATCCGAGTTAAGTTCGATGTCGAACTCGGATGTCAAGTTTCGTTAATTAATACACTCGCAGCATGTTCGTTTTATGCAAACTGTTTGGAAATTCGTTTGAAAGTCGCGTACAGGGAAAAGAGAAATGAGGAACGTGAAATGATAGTAAGTCGAGTCAATTAATCTTTTTTTAATCTTCTTCCTCGTCTTGTTCGTTTAATTGTCAGGCGAAGTTGCAGCGCGCACTTGAAACGATAAACGTTTCGCTATAGTCGGGAGTGAACCACCGTATAGAGAAATTGCAAATAAAAGTAGAATTGCGCGTTTGCGAGATACTAGATCCCATCTGTAATTTCTCTGCCCGTTTTTCTCTACCTTGGGAAAAAATGTCGTAAACGCGAAAGATCTCGGTATTCAGTTACAGCGTTGCTTTATCGTTGTGCAACCTCGAGGACATATTCTCGACTTGCGCGAAGAGGCAAACTTCGAAGAGAACAAGGAAAGAGAGAGAGAGAGAGAGAGAGAGAGAGAGAGAGAGAGAGAGAGATAATTTCGCGATGAGGCAGAATGTTTCTCTCGGCGGTTGAGCCCGCAAGAATTTCCTGTTTCTGGATGGTGGTCTTCGTCGCTACCGCGCCGCGAGTGACTTTTTTTCGCCATTTTCTACGCGCACGTACTCCTCCCCGTCGAATAAATAAATCAGCCGTTTATCTGGGACGAAAGGACGTTCATTACTTCCTCGCGATAAAGCATGGCTTCGCACTCGGAGAAGGCCAGGCCAGTCATAGTTCACGCAGGGACTACGTCTCCCGGTTAGCTGATCGAGTAAATAATAGTTAACGGCCACTTAAACTGTCGCGAGATAACTTTGATAACGCAGAGGCGAACGGGATAGGACCCGCGGGGGGATTATTTCGGTGAGATTCCTCCCCCGGTATTTATGCGTTCTCGTATAATAATTCCGGGCAAGTGTCCCCGTCTTTCGCCATCGTCGGCAAATTTCCTTAATTACCATCTTGGAATTACCATCGTGGTACATATCTGACCGTTTATCACCGATGAAACACGCCACGTCTCGCGATTTGCGTAAATCAAACGGCCACGCTCGTTTCCTCGTTCCTTGTCTCGCCTCTTCTCCTCTTTCACGGCTGGATAATTCCCTTTTGCCGCGTACGAACGCCGACGTCCACGTCGAAAACACCCTCGACAACACATGTTATCGGCTCGTTATCGCGAAACTTGCCGATTTCCACGAGGATCCGTCAAAAAGAGTGCCGCGCGTGTCCGTTCTGTGTTCCAAACAATTCAAACGCGCCGCTCGTTTGCCGGTTGTTTTGGGCAAATGCTTTCGAAAAAAAAAAAAAGAAAAAAGCGAAAAAGAGTCATACAGCGTAGCCATATTCGGCGAGCGTCGAATCGCGAAATAATCGTCGAGGATCGTTCGTTGGCTCGGTTCTTCCTCCTCCGCCCCGCCTCCCTCTTCCCCTCTATTTTTTTAAATTTTCTTTCTTTTTTTTTTTCCCCCACCGTTCCATTTCTCGCGGCTCGCGTATTTACTCTCCAATTCGAGAACGGCGGTTTGCTACGGGGAAAATTTCGGCGTTTAAACTTCAGCTACCCCGAACGGTACCTACAGAATCGTTGTCAGAATTTTACGTGGGAGAACGGTGGCCCGAACAAACAACGCCCCCGTCGGATATTCTTTTTTCGTTCTCGGCTTTGTTCGACGCCGCCATCGCTGTTTCTCGCAGAAGAGAGAGAGAGAAAGAGGAATTTATTCCTCGTACAGCGGAGCTTTCGCTCAAAATAGGGCAATTCGTTCGGTTCGAGGGATTTTCACCCTACCGTAAGAGAGATTCGCGACAGTGAAATTTCGCAAACCACACCCGTTAGGTGATGATTGCAGAACTCGCTTCGTTCAACCCCCGCGGAAGCTTCGGGCCGAAAACGAGAAAGGTCAATACGCCGCTCATTTGAAGGGGCCGTAGGTCTGGTTAAATGCCCGACCGGTTTCGTTTCTGGTTACGTTTTTACTGTGCAAAACCTTTGACGGATCCTCGAAATTATTCCTTTGATCGCTTTTTGCTCGCCCACCCTCGTCGAGGGAAAACAATCGAAACGTTTGCGCCAGAACCATGTTTCTCCTTTCTTCAACGATCGTTTACACCCCATACCGATATCTTTCTGCTTCGTTATCCGGTGGATACGTCTCGGAATAGGAAGGCATCATTCCGCAAAACGTGTTTCGGATAATTTTGTAAATGATAATCTCTTCTGTTGTAATTAATGTCGTTAACCCTGTCGACCGTTCAGTCATCCAACGAAAGATGGATCGTTATTGGCTCGTCGATCGTTTTATCGTTCATGTGATTCCCTTGCCTGTAACAGTTCTAATAGATATCTCCAACAATTTTCTTTTTTTTTTTTTTTCTTTTTTAATAAAAAGCGTTTATTCTCTATCGTCATGTGATATTTTGTTGAATATCCTTGACAATTGTTACATGGTTAACCCTGTCATCCAACGAAAGATCCCGATGGATCATTACTGACTCTTCAATCATTTCGTCGTTCACGTATAGTTACAATAATTATAATAGATATTTTCAACTATTTTTTTTTAATAAAAAAACGTTTATTCTCTATCGTTATATTTCGTTAAATATCCTTGACAATTGTTACATGGTTAACCCTGTCATCCAACGAAAGCTCCCGATGAATCATTATTGGCTCTTCAATTATTTTATCGTCCACGTATAGCAATAACAGTTACAATAAATATCTTCAACAATTCTTTGTTAGAGAATAAAAAGCATTTATTCTCTATTATCGTGTAATATTTTATTGAACGGTCTTGACAATTGTTACACATTTGACAAGTGATCAGTCACGTTTGTTCCTTGGAGATTTGTAACATTTTTCAATATTAGTTCTAAATCTGCGAATTGAGAAATATCTGACGCGAGCGAATAGTTTGAACTTAAACCGGCGATTTTGCCGAGAGTCAACAAATTCTTTCAGCGTCACGTTCCTCGCGCTAATCAATCGAATACTAATCGAATCCTCGTGCATTATTTATCTTGTGCTTGGTCACGTTCCAGCAAGCAAACATATATATTAAGTAACGTTGTTTTTTCTAAATTTAATAAACATTGCAATCTGGTGACAATAATTTAACTTACTATAAGATAACCTATATTTTAGTTAAATACATTGACATTTAATTTGATTAGTGTTAAATTATATTATAGACTATATTATAATATATAATAATATTAATATAATATTATATTATAATATATATTAAATATATATTAAATATTATATTTTAATATATATTATATTATAATATATTATATTATAGACTCTAAAATCGTATTGACTCAAAAAAAAATATCAAAAAACCGGCATTACTTGGTCAAGGGTGTACCATAATGAATAAAGAACGAAGTGAGAAAAAGCGACGAACTTTTATCTTCTCGGAGTGAACGTTCTAGCAAGTGAAATCCGGCACCGTGAAAACGTTCTGGGAATCATCTCGCGCGTCTAAGAATCAAGCCGCGATTCGCTGTCGCGAGGGAGTGAACCCGACCGAAAATTATTCGCAAACGGAGTATCTGAGGATCGCGACTTCCTGTTTGTCGTTCATAAAGCACGCTTTGATGAGCACGTTAAAAGAGAAACGAGGGTAAACGGGGATATCGGGAATTCGATAGCGCGGATATGTCTGCACGACCTCGTACCTGGTTTTCGAATGGTAGTGGCAGGGGTCGGTCGGAGTTTCTATTGCCTAGAGTGCCTGGAAGCCTCCGAAAATTATACGTGTATGTATACGTAGGTGTCTTCGTTCCTTCGAGGCTCTCTCTCTCTCTCTCTCCTTCTCTCTCTCTCCTTCTCTCTCTCCCTGTGCCCGAACGTCTTCTAGCCCAGAAGACCTAGCAATCTCCTCCAAGTGCAATTTCGCGAAGAGGCTGAAACAACGAGCCTTGAAAATGCCGCTGGGCCGGAATAATCGAGCCCCGTTGCGAAAAGATTAACGAGGCCCGCCGCTTGCTGTATAAAAATACAATTTTTCAACAACCGTGTAACACCGCGGCAACACCGAGAGGAAAGAAAAAAAAAATGTGAAACGCATGTGCGCCGCGAAGCGCAACCAGCTCGAAAATATTACGTACGTTTGCTAACGAAGTGAGTTTCGCGTTTTCAGTTGGCTTTTCATTTTTATTCGGAGAAAGTAAACCGTCTTATCCCCCTCCCCCCTCCCCTCCCAATCTTATTAAAATTAAAAAAGGAAAGACAATTTTACACATTGCACGAATGATGTAGAAAAATATAAATTCTACGTTTACACGCGTGAAGCCTCGACCACGTGAATTGAACGAAACTGTTTTTCCATACGCGATTCTCGAATATCGGCGTTCGCGTATCACAAGCATCTGACGTTCGCAGGATGCGGGCACAGAATTTTCGTGTGAGAGTCTCGCTTTCCTAGATCCATTTGATATCGAATTGATTTGCTGTTGTTTCGAGAGAAAATCGTCGAACGTGGAGTTCTTGTCTTACTAAACAAATTCATTCCGTGAAAAGTTGACAAATATAGTATCGAGAATTAAAAGTTTACATAGCCTATTGGTTTTCAATATCACACACACACACATACACGTACACAATCATGTAGATTTTCTACGAAAATTCTACAACGTTAGAAACAGGAAAATTCAGTTCATCCTCGAAAATCTATAATCAGATCGATATATATATATATATATATAAAACACGTTTCATCTGCAAAATAGAAAACGTCGATTATCTGTTCGATGAGCGATGAAAATTAAGTTGTTCGTAACCGGCAGTAAAATAGGATTGATGAGCCGCCATCTTCGCTTTCGTTTCTAAATAATTACATGACTCGCAGCTACTTCCGCTACGCCGAAGTAGAAACTAAGCGGAGTTTCTCGTTCAAACGACTGGCGTTTGCCAGTTTCTGGTGATGATATATAAAGTATTGCCTTCTTATAAGTTTTCTCGCGGCGAGGTGGAACGCTCGTTGAATCAGTACCGAGGGGCTGACCGAATTGAGCAGATTCAGCGAAACTTCAGTGTACAGTGGTAACGCACAATGGCGCCCGGGCAGATAGCTCGGAGGGATTCCTTTCCGAGCGTACGGGATAATAACAGGGCAAGTCGCATCGCGTGATGTCCCTTCGAATCGCATTTACACCGAGTATCACGCGCGAAAAAACGCGGTACGTGCTCGCAGGCACGCCAGCTTCTCTCGGTCTCGATTCTTCCGACAGTTTCCTCTGGATCAGTGACCGCGGCTGTGCGTCTATTCACGACGAACTTGAGAAAACTGGTGAACGAAAGAATTTGGAATCCATGGAATCCGAACACGTTCCAGTTCGAAGTTGATCGTCCGAATTGAAGAAACTATTTTGAGATGTACTTACAGATCACCATTTTCACGTATTGGGCGTCATCTTTAAATTCGCACTTTAAAGTCGCACTAGAATAGTTTACGTGTAATAGATCTTTATAGGACCTTTGATCATAAAGTGAACTGTCAAGCGAGATCAAACTTTCTTCATTTTCTCAAATGAAGTTTGGAGATGACTCAAAACGCAACTGTCTGCAACGTTACGAGCAATCGCTATTTATTCACACAGATTGAAAAATTCGTAGTTGCAAAAGCGAGAAATCCCTCTCGTACAGCTGGACCGAGGCTGTCTGATATTTATTCACCCTCGTGCTTATCTTATCGCGCGATTTATTGCGCCCGACAGCCATCACTCTCATTTTTTTCCCCTCCTCGACAGTATTCCGAGTGAAAAAGTAGACCCGATGTAAATTTGATATTCCCTCTTCTTTTTCCAAAAAGAAACAAAAGAAGAAAAGGAAGAAAATCTGGATCAACGTTAAGTAAGATAAACGTTCGTTTTTTTGTCATATCAAGGTAGGATCTCGGAGATTCCGGCGATCAAATCGATCGTGACGAAGTACGAAGGAGAATGCGGAGGTCTAAGAACGGGTGGATAACTTTCGCGGTTATCAAAGTGCAAAGTAATCGAATTCGGATTAACGAGAGAGAGAGAGAGTATCGTCGGTATCGAGAAAATTGAATCGTCAGTTAACGAGCGAGAGAAGTTCGCCGGTGATCCTTTGCATTAAAGATTACTTCTCGGACTAGAGGCGGAAAGGAAGAGGACGTGCCATTCTCGCCTAACGTTGAGCGAGTTTCGATAAATTTTATTTATTTCAAATCGAGATGAAAAGCAACAATTTGAAGTGACGAATCATTTCCACTAATGTATTATTTTTACTTCAGAGATGACAGGATGAGTAATCTTGTTTTACGTCCGAATCAAAGTACAAAATAACTAGGCTATATACATTTATGCAATTTTTATGTCTCTGTGGAATAATTTATTGAACGTCACGACAGCAGCTCTTTCTGAAATTTTAAACGTTCAAAAAAAAAAAAAAAAAAATGCAGAAACATTCACAATCTGTAAGTATAATTTGTGTAATTAGAGTCAGAAACAAATACGAAATTTTATTCTATTATTTTTGACAATCGAACGATGTAAAATAATTTCATTTGCTTGTTTTCAAATCAGCTAAAGCAAGACGATATACATATATTACTTTAACAAATATTCTTCAAATATTTTATTCGAGTAATAAGCGCAAGTCTGAGAAGAGAAACACGAGGTGGTAAAAACATGGAGTTATTCCACGATCCTACGACGATGTCGATCAACCCTGGCATAAGCTAATAGCTTATTTCTAGCGTTAACGATGTTCTCGATGAACAATGCGCGACGAAACGCGAAAGCTCTCTCTTTCTCGCCTGCGACAATGATTTTCCATGAATCTGGCTATTATCAAACCTATTAATATTAAATCCCAGTGTCAGGCGCAGGCGGACGTTTCTGTTGGTTGCAACGGCTGCATAGGGAGATCGGATGGAAATTGAATGGTCAAATAAAGGGACACGATAAAAGGAGATTTCATTAAGGATTACGAGAATCGTCCGGGATTTCGAAATTAATAGTTTCGTGAATTCACGCTCGCGAATAAACTATCCACGTGACGGGCATTAACGCGCGCGTTGGCGAACTACTATGGATCAGAGAGACGGAATTGTGTTGGTTTCAACTAGCAGCAGCGTTAAAAGGAACTCGTCATGTTGCACGTAATCCGGGTTAGCAGCGTCTCGCGTGCTCCACTTTCGCCGCAATTTCGCTTCGATCGCGTCCCCCCGTCTATCGGGGGTAGAGAGGGGAGGGGGATTTTATTTGACCGGGCAAACGAATCGTTCGTTAAGGAGAACGCATCTCGAGAGAGATTGAAATTCGAGTTGAGCGCGCTCAATTTAATTCTGTGAAAGCGAAAGACGTTTAATTGCGACGTGGCAGGAGACGGTGGCTTGAAAGAACGGGAAACGGGCCACCAGCGATGAAGTTTCGAACCGATGATAAATGGGATTTTAATCATCAGAATTGGTAGGGAAACTATATCAGAAATCATTGAAAAACACCCTTTTTTTCCATCTGAAAAGAGGCATGTCATTCTGAAATTGTGACTCTTCCTCGTATAACGTTAAACATCTTGATGACTAAATATTCCACGTATCGTCAACGAAAACGATTTCTTGCTAACTCGGCGCAGTTTTGTTGTACACGGTCTCTTCAAGAGGATACAGATCCTCGATCCAGCACGGTCAACGAGCGTGAAGAAACCGTGAATCGCGGCTCGAAGAATCGCGAGAACGAAGAAACGCGTTGCACACAGAGGTATCAACGACAGGCAGCGTTCAGCTCGTTTTCGTTGACGTACGAAGGTTACCAAGAGTCCTTGCCGCTGTGGAATTCGAAGGGCCAGGTCGACCTTGGGATTCTACTTGGTATCGGCGACCGGTCCTTTCCAGATGGTGCACGAGGTCAAGCAAAAAGAACCGCGAACGCTCCTCTCCAGTCCGGACCTACCACTCTTCGTCTCGGTTTTTCTTTTCTACGAGGCCTCTGTTACGCCTCTCCCCCGACCGCACCCGACGGGCATCTTCCGTTTTTCCATTTGTTTCTGCTACCCGCGAAATCGCGTAATCCCGCCAGTTTCTCTCTCTCTTTCTCTTCTCCTTTTCGTTTTCTCATCATCCTCCTATACCTGGCTGGTTCTTCCTCCTCCTCTTCGTCGTTCCTCGTCGTTGCGAAATGGCAGCCTGACATTTGCACCGCACTCCCACCCGCGACATCCACCGCGAGATTTTATTGTGTAACCTCGGTTATCGTGCAGCGTCGTTGCGTTTCGAGATGTAGACGTCGAGAACGTCGCGCAGATGGCTGTGTTTGATTTACGGGATTCGTTGTCCTTTGCGTGTTGGAAAACGGGACTTACTGTAAGAGTCACGTTTTAGTTGAAAATCACTTGGAATCTTGTCGTAGGCGTCACAGTTGAGGATCGTTATAGTTGGGAATCACTCGGGATTATCCTTTTTTGAACGGTGAAACTCCGACTGATAGAAATTCGTGATTCTAGTCACAGCAGTTTTACAGGCTTGCGACGGTGTATTTTTGGAAGTCTGAACAATTTTTCGTCTCGAAACTTGAATTCCACACGAAACTCTGACCTTCGAGCTTTAACAAAAAAAACAATTGTACAGCGAATTTTGTTGCAAAGGAGAGACTTCAGTCTTCAAGACCGTGTGAAAGAAATCTCGCTTGAAATTTTGCGGTTTTCAACTAGACTGGTTTCTATCATTTGTCTTCAACAGCTTTGTCATCGTTCTCAATTCTCACTCGCGATCGGCTCGCTCGTCTTACCAATTTAAAGGAGATGAAATTTCGGAGGGGAACGTTTACAAAACCACGCTCGTATAACTAAATTCTAGGGTAACTCAATGTCCGAAGAAAATCCTCGGTATATAAGGGGTGAAAATGGGGGGAGGCTAGTCTCTCCCTTTCTCCCGCGGCGCAGATATTTGTAACCGCTTTTCCTGACGTTACTGTTAATCCTGTTTCAGTTACCAGTGGGCGGGGGTGGTGCTGTGCTGGTGCTCAGCGAGCTTGAAAGCATGGCGGCCAGGCAACAGCGGGAAATTGCCCAGCAGAGGCGCCTCCTGGAGCAGAGAGAGGCCCGTCTAGCCGTGCTTCGAGGCGCACAGGTGAGAGAGAACCACTTCTTCCAACCTAAATACGGAAATCGTTCTGGAAATTGCTCGACAAAGCTCCCGTAATGTTCCCCCTCGGTCTTGCCCGGCTGCTCCCGATGCGTTCGCCTTCCGCTCATCGATGAGCCTAGCTTCCGGTCGCGACTCAACCCCGCCGTCTCGTTCAGACGATGCGCCGCGAATCTTTTCGATTTCATCCTTGCGTCGTTTTCCTCTCGCACCCGATTAAATTCCGAACACAGAAAGTTACAGAGAGTTACGAGGTAGATGGAAGATGATAGCCTGGATGATTCCGTGAAGTTTTATCGGTCGTAATTCGAGGAGACGCTCGTCGTTAACGCCTATAGATGACGACCAATTCGAGAGACAAAGCGTCATTGAAATGGGAAAAGGAAGGAATCGCTTTATCGTTCGTTTTATTTATTCTTTTCAAGTACAAAATTACTAGTTGTTCTTATTTTTCAATCTATATACGCAAAAATACAGAATGTCAGATTCGTTGTTTGTACTCTATTTTCGTAAAATTACCAACTAGTCGCAGACACTTACTTACAAAATGATAAAGTAAACTTGCGTTTTCTAAATAGAAACAAAACAAAATGGTAATCCTGTTCTTGTACTTAACCTCTTGCGTTAATAACTGGTTCGCGGACCATGACGAGTGACCAAACCGTATACAATAATTCATCTCCTTTTTGAATTTATCGGTATATCACCGGATAGACATTACTAAGTAGTGATCAATTTATTATTTGTTTTGTCTGGGTTATATTTCAATATACTTAAAACTGGAAAAATATCGTTCTCAATCGTTCTTCCAATGAATATTAATAATATAGTAATATATGTGTAAGTTATTAACCTCTCGCGCTAGTAACTGGTTCACGGACCATAACGAGTGACCAAACCGTATACAATAATTCGTCTTCTTTTTGAATTCATCGGTATATCACCGGATAGACATTACTAAGTAGTGATCAATTTATTATTTGTTTTGTCTGGGTTATATTTCAATATATTTAAAACTGGAAAAATATCGTTCTCAATCGTTCTTCCAATGAATATTAATAATATAGTAATATATGTGTAAATTATTAACCTCTCGCGCTAGTAACTGGTTCACGGACCATAACGAGTGACCAAACCGTATACAATAATTCGTCTTCTTTTTGAATTCATCGGTATATCACCGGATAGACATTACTAAGAAGTGATCAGTTTATTATTTGTTTTGTCTGGGTTGTATGTCAATATACTTAAAACAGAAAATATTGCAATTTTGAGCCAAATATTTTCGACTTGCCTTGAGGTTATAAAAGCCCCGTTACAAAAAGGCTATTACCTCGGTCAGATCCAAAGCTACATCGTGCTCCTTTTTAGCCGTTTACAACTGGTGAAACGACGATAAAACAGATCCTTCCGTTTCCCACGATATAAAATCTCGAAACAAGCCGTCGACTTTGATCCGTGCGTCTCGCGACGATCGGCGACTCTCGCGTCGAACGGGAAGCAGAACATCCGCGCGCCATGAATAATTCGAAATAATAACAGACTGGCGGACAGTTTGCGCCTATTATCGACCAGGTAACTGTCCATTCCGTGTTCAGCCTCGTCATCTTGGAAACGATCGAGCCGGTTGGCCACCGCGGTTCTCGTAACATTCACGCGCCATTCGCCACTGCCGGGAAAATCTATCGGCGCGCACCGCGTAATAAAGCGTAATCGCCGCGCGAGACACCAGGAGGGAGCCTTCGTAATTCTCGATTAGAAGGTAAACGCGTTTTGTCCTCGACCGTCTTCCTCTCACGGTTACTACAGCCGCCAAGGTACCGCGGAACCTTGTTCTCGCGCGCTTTATGACGCTAAGGCCAATTTACCCCAGTGGAAAGAATAAGGAATGCCGGCTGAGGAAGTTAAACTTGGCGTTTATTACGACGATGCAATAACGATGATATACACAATGGGCCCGTGTGTCGTTCCGCGAGATTGCGTGTAACGATTGTGAGTAGCGTTACGTGTACTATGCGTTCCAAACGAGTAAATACGTATGTATCTTCGCATACGGGATGAGAGCGAGTAACTAACGCGGTGACATCATCATCCACCCGTGTCACCAATGACGCGTGAGAGCCAGACGAAACACATCATCGAAAGCTACACGGTATCTGTGCAATTTCCATGCCACTGTTCGATTCTTCCCTCACGTTGTCTGGGATTATTGTTGCCATCATCGTTGGCTGTCATCGTACTACCGGAAGTAGTAGTACGGCCAAGTAACTCCAATTGATCCACGTTGTATCGTAACGGTTCGTAACGCGTCACGAGATTCACGATTCACTCGAGTAGCTCGAAGGGAATAACCTCGGCGAAGTTGCAAAAAAAAAAAAATAGCCGCAGAACACCTGCTCCGCTCGAGTAAATAATTAGCAGGTTTCTATCACTCGAGCGAAGCGTAAGACGGAGCAAAGGGCAACCCGGCAATTTACATCCATCCAGCATTGTCAGCCTCCTCGAAAGTACCTGAGCTAAACAGCCGGTTTTCCTTTAGCGCGAGGTTCAATGGTAAGGTGCTCTCGCCGTAGAAATCCGGAGGCTCGCCAGCTGGTGTTCCTCGTCGTTACACCAGCGGAGATTGTAGAGATTTCTCTAACGTGTACTGAAACGTGTACCGAGGAATTGAAGATCCGTGTTCTTTATATACATGTATACTTGCTTTCGACTTTTTTATATAATTATTATACTGTACAGGGTGGAAAGAAAAGTTTATAGCTGCCGTGGACAAATTCACATGTATTTACGTATTCTTGCAAATACGCGTAAAGGACCTGCCACAAGATTGATGTTGACTTTGAATTTCGAGGTCAAAAAATTCTCTTTCTTGCATCGTATTCTACTCGTCAGAGAAAAAAGTTTCTTCATCACACTGCGACTTTATGGTTCTGGACGCGTTTATATTTCGAATAATATTAACAGGTAGTTTTATCATTTGGACTCACTCTGATGGTATAATTATGGTAAATCAAGTGTTAGCAAAGCCTAAGCCATAACCATAAAGTCGCTGTTGGAACGCACGCGTCCGCAGTGTTAACTTTTTCGCCACTTTTCAAGCGAATCTATAGTTCCTTGGAAAAGTTTTTATCTTCGTGATGAATAAAATACAATACAAAAAGAAATTTTTGTTGACCTTGATATTCAATACACGTATTTGTATCAAATCGAAGGTGTAGAATTCATCTATGACAGCTACGGACAAACTTTTCTTTCTACCCTGTACATTCCAGTATGAATACGTCTTTTATTTCGGGAAATCTCTTAGTATTTTATCCTATTGTGTACGTACGAACGTGCAACTTTCAAGTTGCAAGTTGTCGGAGAGAGTTGAAACGCTTGTCAACGTTGCAAAGGTACGGCAAAAGCCAATCAATGTACACCTGGCGTTAGTCTGGCTTTGATAACCTTAACCCTGAACGAGGAACACGAACGGTGAACGTTGCAAGTCGAAATGCTGGCGAGAAATCGATAGGCCGCGGCGATTACGTCGCGAAATGACGCGCCATTAAACGGACACGTTCGATCATTTCGTCGAAACACTTGTAAATCATGCAATGCAAATGTAACGATTAACTTGATATTATTTTGTAATAATATTTTTACCAGTACTATCCCAATCTCGTATACTTAAGCAAGAAAGGATGCCGACGAAAAACTTACTAAGAAATTTCTTTTCTTTAGCTACGTTATTAAAAAGATGAAATTATATCAATGCAAAACGACCGAAGGAAACATGCAAGTGAAATGTTGGCTCTTAACACAGATATTTTGACTTAGTATCGGTGAAATTTTTAAACTCGAACCGTGTACATGCACACGTTGCTTCACACTGTTTCACAGAATGAGCCCTCTTCTCCTTTTGTTTTCGTTATTCTTTATTACTCGGGCTATCGATGGTTTACAACCACGACGGGAGGAGGGACACGCACGATCGTTCGAAATACAATGAAACAAGGTCGACGCCAACAATGGCGCGAAATAGCGGTATCGACGTGGCCGCTCTAGGGATGGAGGCGTTCAAATCACCGATTAAACTCGATCCGTTCAGCCGAGCGATTTTAATCGAGTGGTATCCTCTCGCGTCGCGACGCGAACTGGATTCGTTCCTCCTCCGAAGACGACGTTTCCTCGTCCCGCGTGTTGCTTAACGAGCCCCTCTTCTTCCACGATATTAACGAGATTAAGAGCCTCCAATGCGCTCGGCATCCACCGTCGTTAACTGGCGTCGGTCTAATCTTCCACCCGTTACTTTCAACAACGAGCGCTGACACTTTGTTAGATCGCGAGAAAGGTGTTGAGAAAGGTAAAGTTAGCTGTAACGCGAGGAGGAGGACTTGGGGAAAGTTTGAGAGGAACACGCTGGCTCGCTTTACTTTTTCGAACGACGTAATGATTTGCACTTGGATGGTCGATAATATCGTGCAAATTTATACTTTCGTGAAATTGCAAAGTTTGAATAACATTCAGCGTTAAATGTTAAGCTTGGAACGGCTGGTGACAGAGTCGCTTGAGTATGAAAAAGAGAGTGAGTATAATAAAAAGAATTTTTCCATTACTAGAGTACAACTTAAAGAGCTGGATTATTGAATGAAAGAAAAGTCCAGTGTAAAAATATTTGAAATATATATTAAATCTGTCCGGATTATCGCAACATGATTTCTTATTGTACTTTCATACGACTATAAAAATACGATTTTATGAAATTGAAACAACGTGGGGGAATCTGATTGAAAAAAAAAAAAAAGTGACAACGATCTATGCAAATTTCAACTCTGCGTCGCAAAACTGACCCAACTTTATCAATCGCCTATTTCGCGATTCTTTCAACAACATCTCGCCTCCTATTTCTTCCAACCGCTGCCAATGCGAAGACCTCATCGCTCATCCCCGATAAAATCAGGCCCAAAAAAAAAAAAAAAATCCACTGATATTCCGGCAGAGACTCGTGTTACTGGCAAAACGCGGCGCGGGTTCACGAACGATTCGAGGGTAATACCCGGGGGATAGGCGGCGATAGGACTCAGCTGGGATTTTCTAGGACTTGAAAGCCCTAATCCCCGGTGTGGCTCTATTCTCGGATACGAGACGAGCTCCTCGAAGATAGAAAGTTCTAGCCTCGGTCCGCAGATCCTCCATCCGTGTGGTATCGTTTCTAACCGCGACGAGCGAGCAGCTTTTCCCTGTGAAAGGGACATTTCCTATAAGCCAAGTCGAACGGAGGTTCGTTCGTTCCCTCTTTCTTACGCTGCATCAGTGACGTAGCTCGTCGAGGGCTTTTTCAACGGTCGACTGTAGAATACACTACTAGCTTCTACTCTGTCGAGACGAATCTTATTTTCCACAACGGAGAGAGAAGGACGGTAATTTTCGTGGACGCGTCTCTGGGGGATTGCCGGACACCATGTCTGGCCACATCTGGCGAGTTCTACTGGATTTTAGAGGTGATTTCCGGGGGAGAAACGATCGTAACAGAGAAAGGGAGAAAGTCGGAGTGGATGATTGTGTATCCGAATTGGTCGCCGGTTCCGGGACGGTTTGGTCGTTTAGCGAGCGGTATTAATGAAAAAAGAAAAAAGAGAAAAGGGAAGGTAAACGAGGGAAGAGCCGCCGGCAGTGGAGCGTAACGTCATAGAGAAGACAACCGGCGTGCGTTGGTTCTTGTTATTTCGGTGGCCGTTTGAAACATTCGACGACTTCCTTCTCTCTCCCGCACTGTCAGCCAATATTCACTTTGCACCCTGGCTTTCGCCATTCCCCAGCATTCAGCCTCGCATTCACCGGACGGCGTTTACTGTTTCAGGAGCCAGCACAGCAAGACAAACTCGCCAGATTGAGGCACAGGCTGGACCAACAACAAAGCAAGCTGAATCGGCTGCGATTGCTCAGGTCGCAGACCGACCAGTCACGTGCCAACAATGCCACGTTGAGTGAGTCTATTAACAAGTTTCTTCTTTTCTCCTTCTTTTCCTCTTTACCTTCTGTTCGACGCGATGTTCAACCCTTCGTTTATTACATAATCGTAGGAAGGGGAATAATTGTACACATGATTATAAAATATGTACGTCCTTGCTCGAAAGTTTTCACCACCGTTGTCAAATTCCTTTGTTGCTCTATTTGTTATAAAGAAGTTGTTTCGGGCATTATAAAATATTTATTTACTTCGAGAAATCATTCCTCTTCAAATCTTGACATGCTCCATGTGTTATAAAGAAGTTGTGTCATATGTTGTAGAATACTTATTTTCAAGAAATCATTGTTCCCTTCTAAATCTTAACATGCTCCACGTATTATAAAGAAGTTACAGAATAGTTATAATATAGAATATTTATTTACTTCCAGAAATCATTCCTTTCCAAATCTTGACCTGCTCCATGTGTTATAAAGAAGTTGTGTCATATGTTGTAGAATACTTGTTTACTTCAAGAAATCATTGCTCCCTTCTAAATCTCTTAATTCCAGGTATTATAAAAAAAGTTACAGATTAGTTACATTATAGAATATTTATTTACTTCGAGAAATCACTGTTTCTTTCCAAATCTTAACACTAGAATAACCAATGATAACGTAAAATTTCTATCTTCTGGAGACATTAAAGTAAAAGAAATGGAATAACTTTATAATACAAAGGGAGTACACGAGCTTTTGTTTATACATTTTAGGAAAAATTATTCGAGTCGCAAAAAATACGCTGTGTTACATCTGTAAGATTTCTAACAAAAATTATAAACTAGTCATTTTGACCATTTTGAATGTTCTAATGTTAACATGCTCCAAATTTTTTAGCGGGAACGTACATACATATGTTATCAAAGGAACGACTCAAAGAGCTAAAAAAAGAATAACAAAAGCAAAAATAATTAGTACTTAAATAACCATTAATATAATAATAATAATAATAATTATATTAATAACAATATTAATAATAATATTAATAATAAACTGTTCGTTATTGTTCCCTTTGTAATCTTTGCTTTGGATGTCGCATCCATGTGAAAAAGCCCCTTAGTACCATCCTCTGATCACTTTGAGAACCATTCGTCTGTTAGAGAGCTATCAGCGAGAAATCCCTAAACTGAGAGCTTCCTATTTGCGAAAAATCCGTCCGTATGAGATCTCTCTCTCTCTCTCTCTCTCTCTCTCTTTCCGTACGAGGAGAACGTCTCCGTGAAAACCTACGACGATAACTTGTTTAATCCAATTCGTCGGGGGATTATCGAGTCGTTCAGAGGCGTATTCACGCTCGAGAGTGAAAGTTTCAGCCGCAGCGGATGGAAGGAGAGAGAGGGAGGGAGCGGCCGGAGAAAATAGCTCGCGGGAAGGAACAAAGGGAAAAACTGTTAGACCATTGTGATAACCCGAGGACACTGGATTCGAACCCAGCACGATCTCCTCGGAGAAAAAACGATCCTCGTTATCGTTCGATTCGACGTCGCGACGAGCACGAGCCACCGTAATTTCCAAGGGGACCGAACGTTTCGTAAAAGGACATCGGACGAGCCAGCAGCTCGCTCGGTAATATCGGATTCAATAAAGATTTCGCGGGCAAAATGGACGCCGGTCCGAGGCGGATCGCCTTTCTCCATCCCGTTTCGCTCCCCTTTTTGGATTCGGATGATACATTGGCCGTATTTACGGCCACGATGTGCGCTCCACGGTATATCTCTTCGCCGGTACCGCGGAAAGAGCAAGCTTGGAGGATTTACGGTGAAATCCCGACCGAGGTTCGTGCACTGTCGTAGGTGTATTCCTCAGCGTCGAATGATTGTTGAAATAGTACCGAGGTAGAATGAAAGGCAACCGTCGTTGATCCTAGAGTCTTCTCCCTTATTGTTTCCCTTGGAAAATAAAATACGTCGTTTCGAGTCTCTCTAGAAACGTGTCCATTCTTTGCGGTCTTACGTCCGCTCTGTTCCGCACATATTCATTGTTTCAGTGGATTTTACGTTTAGATCGCGCGTCGATTTACCAACGTAGGAGTTTTATTTCTGAGAAGGGAATTTTATTCGATTAAAATAGATAGAGAACACGTGACACGTCGATTTTATTCAAGACTGCCTTTTTTTTTTACACAATTCGTTCCTTTCACTTCTTCCTAATTTCTTCAATTTAAATGCACGAATGGAGTACACTGTAAAAATAATTGCCCAGGTACTGCAAAGAGTTGAGAATCAATCAATCGTCAGTCGTTCAATCGAAATCGTCTCAAGTTTCAAGGAACTGGTGTCATCCGCGAACCAACGAAAGTCCTTCAGCCAAGATGATTCAACATTCACGAACGAAAGAGCATGTTCCTCGCCCCTCCTTCTCCCGTTAAACGAAACGGTTTCTCATTCTTAACTCCCCTTGTCCCAACTCCGATCAGTCTCGTTATAAGCGACACCTCTTCGGTTCGTGGCTTTCCAAACACCGTCCAACTTGCTTTCGATCGTGAGCAGAGAACCATCGCGAATTCGAGGAAGGAAGGTGCTTCCACTCGTTACCAGCTCATCCCTCCTGATTCGACGTCTGTCTGTGTCTGCTCCCGATTCAACCGCTTCTCTATCCGCTGTGTTCGCGGATTTTCACCTTACGTGTCTTCGAGTTCCCCGCAAATTCCCCGCAAATTCCCCGCGAGTAACTTTCACCGTGCCGGCTGGCTGAGATTATCACTGGCGAAAAGTGCAATCTTTGGGAAGAGAAACGAGAACGAGTGCTCCGAATCGAACGAAGATCTGATCGCGTCACCGGCGGAAATTCGCGTAATCCACTTCCTGGATGGAACGTGGAACTTGGTGCTCCTTCGCCGCTGATGGATTCTCGTTTCCGCGGGGATTCATCTGGCGGAACATCGTGTCTTGGATAACCGATCGAAAGCGTAAAACCTCGGCGACGAGTTTGACAGAAACCGGGCACGAATTCGAACCCAATATGTATACCGGCTGGGGACACTCGTAGATCGTTTCGTGTTTATCCACAGTTTTCATATTCGCCGGCCTTCGTGTACATTCGAGGAAGGTTTACAGACCTTCGTGTAGTAGCTTCGTGTAAACCGTCGCGTTTTATACGCAGGATATCGCAGGATAAAATTCGAAATGACGGAGACGATGATTTTCACGAAGGAGCATTACGCGAGTTACGTATGTACGTACATCGTTGACTTTCAAAGATCCCCACTAGACGCGATGCATTATGTTAGGTTACTTTCGTTGCAGACGGTTCTCGTATATCCCGGTTAAATTAATTTAAACGCTCTTTTCAGCGAATCTTTTGAAGAAAAAAGAAAAGAGACGAAAAATTTCGAGTTGCCACGTTTACCGGGGATACGGGTTGAGATCTATATGCAAAGCAGGGGGTACGCGACACTCGGGGATCAAAGGAGAGAGAGAGGTCTCGTTTTCAAATACACTCGAGGAAGAGCCTGGCGAGAGAGCCTTCGCGAAGATTCAAAACGAAACGAAATAGACGCGAGGCACCGGTAATCCTGGTAATCCACGCGCGATGCGGTTTATTTTAAAAATCCTCCGAATTAAACAGTCCTCCCGCTCCGTGGTAGCTGACGAGGCGAGGTTTAATTAAAGAGAGCTTCCCGGCCTCTTTTTCGTACGTTTCGCGGACGGAATTAGGTGGCTCCCGATGAGTTCTCTCTCCTGGACAGAAGTCACCGAACGCCGGGCTTATTTAAGGCAGGACTTTCCATGAGCGTTGAACGCGCACGTTTATATCCCGAAAATTTTATACGCTGAATTCTCTTCTCAGCGTATAAAATTTTCGCACATTTTCAATTCGCACGAAATTCGTTCGACCAGGAATTACATATAATATATATATATTCGATTGAGTCGTGAATAATGTTTTGTTTTCGTATTTATATTTTCTACGGTAACAACATTGATCGTCTTTTCAAATTTCAAAAAAATTCGCAATTTCGACGACTCAGATCAAGTTAATCCACGGTATTATTACATCGCAGTGTCTGATCTCCTCCAGTGACAAACATCGTTCGCGTCTCTCACGTTACGTCAAGCGAACTGACTCGCAAGGTAATCTTCTTTGCCTTTGGAGATTAAGCCGTTAGTACCATTATCGAGATTCAGAAGGTTAGCCAGGACGAGCCTCGGGAAACGAATCACGGGACAATCTCCCGTTTTTAAGATCTCCGCGCGCCCAGTGCACCGCTCGGATTATGCGATCGAACCGTCGATTCAACCGTTTCCGCACGCTCGATCCAACCGATTAATCCTAATATTGCTGGTGAAGTCGACGCAATTTGTTGTTGCCTCGTTAACCTCTTGCGCTGGAATGACGTGCCACGCACGTCGAGAATTTTTTGTAACCAAAATTGCAACATTTTCTCAGTTCTAAGTATATTTAAATGTAACCCAGGCGTAACTTCTTGATAATTTCTATCCATGTGATGTCATATTTGACGAGTTCAAATGGAACAGAAAGCGACGAATTATTGTATACTGTTTTGGTCACTCGTTATGGTCCGCAATCAGTTGCCAGCGCAAGTGGTTAACAGTCTTCCTCTCCAGTAAAAAAAGGAAAAAAAAAAGATGGACAAGCACGTCTCCTTTTCAAGAAGCGGACGGAAATTAGAATTCACGGTTTCTGTCAAAAAGTTGGACCATTACGCGTCGAAAGTGGAAGCTATCAGACCGGAAATACGAACCGGCCCGATTACGTCGCTGCGTCAGTCACACCGGATTTCGCTGCGACGAGAAACTCCGCGAGAGATTTATTCCTCCCCGCGGTGAAAATTCCCCGCGCGACAGAATCCGCGAACTTTTCACGGAGGAGGATCGATGGTTCCGATTTCCCACGCGATCGTTTATCCGATTTATCCGGGCCGATTCTCTCCCACCTTTGCTCCCCGATCGATCGAACGATCAACGACGATCCTCGATCCTTCAAAATCGGATTCCACGCGCTGTGGACCAGGCGTTCA